TTATGTTCCAGTGTAGCAAGATTTCATCAAGACAAAAGAGCGCAGAGAAGATGGGCACTGAAAAAGAACAAGAAGTGAAATTACCATATATTGAATCTGACAATGAATCAGTCATCTCACCCATCACTCTGTCAGGAACATTATTCTGAGTTAGATATTGTATTTCAGCCTAGATGTGTTTTATGCCGTCACTATAATCTCTTAAAATGAAGTGTTCTCTCCAAATGGGCTTTTTGCTTCCCTCAAGTATTTGTTTGTTTGTTCTTGAAAGATCTGTTTATTGGAGTTTTCATCAAGGACATGAGCATGCTGAAAGGTTGATAATCCTCAAACAAATTACACGTATCCAAAAGAACAAGACAGAAGATACAGGACCTAATGATGTCTGTAAAGAAAGGAATAAAAGACAAAAAAAAGCTCATTGTGGAAAAACATCTGCAATATTGTTTGTCCATTGTAATAGCAACACTCCATAAGAATAGACACCCAATGGTCACTTTATTAGGTCCCCTTACCTACACAGAAACAGAATTAAAAAATGTTTGGTTCGTTCAGAACAGAACCAATATACAAACCTCAGTTTTGAAAAAGTTAAAAATGCTAACAAAAATAAAACAGTGATTAGTAAATTCTTTAAATTGAAAACAATACAAAAAACACAATATTTTTGTCTTAGCTAATGAATTTTGTTTTTGTAAATATATTTTCATTCCAAAATTTCATATCTGCAGCATGGTCCAAAAACTCCATTGTATTACATCACCTTTCCTTTTAAAATCGCTTAATAATCATTTAACAACTGCATGGGACCTTTGTTGTCGTATTTTGGGCTTCATAATGCACTACTTGTTTTCATTGAGAGACAGGTCTAGCAATCTAGCTGAGTATGCAGCCATGCTGTTATAACCCATGCAAAATGTGGCTTGGCATTGTCATGTCGTAAGCGTGGATGTCCTTGAAAAAGACCTTGTCTAGAAGGCAGCCTATGTTACTCCAAAATGTCTACATATTTTTCAGCATTAATGTTGTCTTCACAGATATGCAAGTTACCCATGCCATGGACACTAATCCACGCCCATACCATGACAGACACAGGCTTTTGAACTTTATGTTGGGAACAATACAGATTCTTCTTTGGCCCAGAAAACACAACGTTTATTATTTCCATAAACAATCTGAAAGGTTGACTCGTCAGTCCACAATATATGTTTCCAGTAGAGCTCGGGCTCAGAGAAGTCAGCAGCGTTTTTGGATGTTGCTGGCATATGGCATCCACTGTGCATAATACAGTTCTTAACTTGCAGCCACAACAAACAACAGAAGTTTGTCAGTTGTTCCCATGCCCATGTAGTGATGTCTGCCACAGAAGCATGCTGGTTTTAATGCAGTGCCATCTGAAGGATTGTGGAATGTTATTCTTAAACTGATTTTTTGGTGATACACTTTTGCAAGTAAAGTGATGAGCTTTAACCCATCCGTGGCCTTTCCTGGATGCTTTGTTTACACCCCTAGCATGATTGCATCACCTGTTTAAGATGCGTTTTAACACACATACCTAGTCTTAAATTACCCCATCTGATCTGAAACCAACATAACATTCTTAAACCATTGAACATTGAGGGAATGAAAAAATGATGTTATTAGCTAGAAACAGAGATTTCAAATTATCTAGAACAGTGAAGGAGCCCTGATAGTTGGGAAGACTTATTTCTTTCTTCTTCTTTTGCTTTTTGTCATTTTTCCTGAGAGACACTTTGCTCTGAGTAGCTATGTTAAGGAACCTGTGGGGGTGAGGTCATCTCTGCAGGCCAGCAGCAGGACATCCTGCTGCAATTTGAAGAACACAGGCACGTTCATTTAACCTTCTGCTGGTCGGTAAAGGAAATAGTTGTATGTGTGAAAAGCCCATGCCCACGGGCCAGGTTATATTCAGCACCGCTCGCTCAGTGTTTGAAAGTGTGAAAGTACACTCTCATTGTGGTTGCAAGACTGTGTTTTAGTACGCTGGTGCAAAGTTGTTTTGAAGTCTGGGTTGTAGGTTTGTGCCACTCTGCTCACATCTGTGAAGGCTGATCACACGGTACAGTGGAATCGAGGCTACTGCACCCTGGTTGTCGAGCGCCCCACAGCATGACTTTGTAAACAGGGCAGAGCACAGGAATCCCACTATAGGAGGCATCACCATGAGTGAACCAGAGGATGTTCTAAACACAAGCTCAAGTTCAAACTCACATCAAGCTCAGTTTCTTGAATTCATTGTGTTGACCGACTCCTAATTCATCAGCTAATGCCGGCCTTACACCAAACGACTTTTCAAGTGATTTCATTGTCGCAGACAAATATCCATGTCAGAATAAAATCACGAGAGTCTTGTTAGAGTCGCGTTGCGCTCGCATCATCTCGATCGTTTGGTATAAGGTGGTCAAGATGGCGGTTTTAAGTCAGTCTTTTTCTCATCTTGACGCTGCAAAAAAAACAACTGTGTTTAATATTATCATAAGTTTTAAGTCTTGGCTCATACAAATAGTGACGTGCCAGGGGCGCGCGTGAGCACTTGTGGCCGAGCGCAGGCAAGCGGCGCGAAAGAGAGAGAGAGAGAGAGAGAGAGAATGCAGGCATCGCTGACTGAAATCTCTGTAAAAAAAAACAGTAATTCAGTACAGTAATCATGCATTAAAATGTAAACTGACTGTTTTAATATTTCAGGTTCACTGAGCCTGTAACACGTAAGGAAATGTGCTGAGGACTTCTGGGTGATGATCTGCCAGAGTACACAGTTCTACAGTGAACTAATCTGAGCCCCAGATCTTTACCTGCCCAGCCAATGTATCTTCCCATCTGTACCACTATAGAGTGGAAGGAAAAGTGTTTATCTGCTTGTAAATTTCCACCAGGTGCATGATGGGGAATAAGCTCAAAAATGTAGTTGCAGTCTTGTAAATAGTGACACTGCAAGATTCCTAGCCTTTGCAAAATCATAGTCTCTGACTAAAAACGCAACACTGTCTTCAGATGTGAGAGGGTGTCAGAGTTTAGTCTTTCAGAAGTCTTTTCAAAGTCTTCTAGTGTGTGGTTAACTCAGTCTTCAGGAACTCACTGTTTATTTGAGCTAAACGGTATGAGCTGAAATAAATCCCAGTGTACATAGACTAGTAGCAGTAGCTGCCATCATGCCATCTCTAATACCAGAGCTTGATTTGAAAGAGGGTGCAAAGGAATTCTGTCCCCCCATTAAAAAATAAACCATCCCCTTTGCAAAACTACCATCCCCTTTGGATTGAAGTCATGTGATATACCTTTTTTGTATCATTTACCAACTACATTGGTCCAAAGTCAGACCTCAAAACACATTTTGGGCTTTGATCTGAATTATCCTTATTTCATTAAAATAAATAATAGAGCAGTCCATTTTGCCACAAAACAATCATAGCGCTATCAAAACTTTACCAAACGTTCTGTTAGTGACTGATTCAGTAGTGGCAATTGCAGCTAATTTGGAGCATAACTCATAACTGCTAGCCAGTATATGATGAGCAAACATAGCTTTGAGAAGTTGTACACTTGTAAAGTCATAATACAAAAAATCACAGGAAATATGTTTCAGTAGTTACTTAGTTCTTAATGCTACACACAATTTTTAGACTTTGGGACACATTTACTTCAAAACAATGAGATCTAACTACTTTATCATGTGGCCATGGGGGACAGGGATGCAGTCTTACTTTCGGCTCTGAAATACAGGGGTGTGGCTGTAAAATAAGGCTCCGCCCATCGACTAAAACTCTAAAAAAAAGACTAAAACATACAACAGCATTTTGTACGTTTTTTTTTATTATTTACAAATGAAAGTCATGTCTTTCGTGTTATCAGACTCATGAATTACCCTACTGGTAATTCTTCACCTGCTACTAACAAGTGAAAAAGCCCTCAGGCCACCCACTAGTATAGTCTTTGACTTACTGGAACATCCAGTGTAATCACTGAAAAAATCCCGTAGTTAAGTTAATGTATGTTGACTGTTTACCTACCTGCTGATGTTCTTCTTTCCCCCTTTTTTAAGCTTGCCAGTTAATATGTTTATGTACCTTGTCTCTCTTTGTACAATTGTTGATTTCTTGAAGCTCACAACAGAAATGTCAGACCGTTTGCTCTTTTCAAAAGTTCTTCAATGCATTCTTCATTTCAAAGTGATTTTGTTGACAGCATTTGCATATTTCCGATTTAAAGCAAGCCGAAAGACTGCGAGGTGTGACGGAGCCGTTTTCGGCATCGTCGCGCCACTTTGTTTTATCTTTCCGAGGAGATTTTAATTGGCTGGTTTTGTTCAAAGCAGGTAACGCAGAAAGTGCATGAAATCCCATGCTTACCGGATTAAGGTGCAAATTAGCAGATCTTTATGTAGGCTTATATTTTCAAACCCTCAGTTTGCTGCATCCGTAATCAGATTTGTGCATTTTATCCCTGTGGTTGGTTTCGTTGGACGTGGCCTGCAAGTGTCTGACACCATCACTGGTCATTACCGTGGCAACTCAAAGTCAATAATTATTCTTTTCACTTTTATTCATGTAGTTTAGGATGAAAGCCTTCACACATTTGAATGAAAATCCCTCAGATGAAAAGCCGTTTTTGGATTTACTTACAGTTAATGTGTAATTCTTTTACCTGTCATTAATTTCCTGAGAAGAACCATTGTCCATTTAAAAGCAATAGATTGTCCAGAGAAGACAGTAAGGTGCTAATGATGCCCACAGAGTCATTCCTCATGTACTCGCACTTCACAACCAGTGCATAAAGTAAAGCCACTTAAAAAAAAATCTTGTAAAAGGCTATTTTTTTTCATCCTCAGGCCTGAATGGCCCCATAACTCAGCAGAAGCAGATGGTGAGGGACTTCCCAAACCTACGTAGTGGCAAGGGCAACCAGCCCATGCTGTTGTTTTTATAATTAATAAAGGAGATTATATGTGCTCTAAGTGCTCCTGCCCTCTGCTTTGTCCTCAGGTCCTGTGTTCAAGCCCAGCTGCAGCAAGGCCCAGAAATACCTAGAGTTCATCCCTATCAATCTGCACACACAGCGCATGAGAGTGACGTGTCCCAGGAGAACAGGTAGGAACACCTGAGTGTCAAGTACAAAACGATTGCTCTCTTTCTTCTCCACTGTCTCTTCACCACTATCTCTCTCTCTCTCTTACTGAGATTTACTCTGATGACCAGATGTTTGTATGTGAGCAGGCGCTGCATAAAATGTGCCTCGATGTGGCCTCAATATGCACTCGCCACACGTCTGAAATTGACCTTCAGTTTGCTACGGCTGTAGCTAATCGCACAAACTGTGCATATTACTGCCTGCTAACTGCAGGCCACTTCTAAAGCACAGTGAAACAATGGAGCTGCCAACAAACCCAGGACTAAAGAGACAACATGATTTCAGTGATTGAGAGACAGCAGTGTTTGAAGAGCTCTTTCCAACTAAAACATTCCACAGCGATTCTTCGCTGACTCAGAAACAGGTAACAATAAGATACCATTGGCAAACGCTCTACACAAAAATCTCCATCTTTAAAATCCTATAGACAACCTCTGGAGAAGTTCTGGAGATTTGAAATAGTGTTTTTTTTCTGTTGGTTATTCTAGAAAGTCAATGCTATGGGAGTCACTAGGTGAACTTTTACCGCCTTTGAGCTCATGAAGACTAAAAACCTATTTGGATGTTTTGGATTTGGTCACTATTTAGTGGTTTCTCCTTTGCATTTCATTAATAAAATAGATTTCATAACGAAAAACTGCCTGAATCTGAAGAACCTTATATGTTTTGTTCTTGGAGGAACGATAAAGCACTTTTTAAGGCAATGTTATGCTGTAAACCAGTAGTGGGGCCTGATTACAAGTTGGAGGAGACACATATCCTAGCAGGCATTACGTCTCAGAGACATTGAGAGCCACCAACTAGCCTTGTTCTTTGTAGCTACGTCATTGGGACATGACCCACCAATTACCATAACCGGAGGAAAAAATTAAACTTGTTAAAGTTTTAAACACATTGCTTACATCACGTTTGAATGTACTGAGTACTATGACAACTGACAGCATACCATGGTGGGTAAAGACTGATTAAGTGCAGGCCTGGTGTTTACAGCTGTAGACATGACTAACCTGTAGGAAATTGCACAGCTCGGCTAATTCAGGTGGATTAAACTTTATTGTCATTACTCCACTATAACAAAAAGCTTTCTCACTGTTCTCTGCAGTGTAATGTTTACACACAGTGGTACAAAGTCAGTATTAAGACAGACAGTACTAAGTTCGGCTTCCATGTGGGTGGGGAGGCAGGACCTCCATGGCTATGCCTTGTTGTGAACAGCAACCCTGTAAAACAGGGTTAAACACGTGATATAATAAAGAAATGATAAATAATAATTCAACCAAAATGATAATAATACACAAATACTGTACTTTGAAATATACACTACTTAGTGGCCATTAAACTGAAAAAAACATGATTTTGTTTTTTGTTTTTTTTTTTAATTCTATAATTTAATTTTAATTATAAAAATAAATAGTAATAATAAATAGGCTTTTATGTTCTATTGATTTCAGTGACACACCCTTTCACACCCAACATTTTGTCTAACATTTAGTTTACTTTATCAATTAAACTTCTCTGTTTTTACTTAAATGGGAATAGAGCATGATTTTATTAAATGATGAAATTTGCAAATGACCCACAAATTTGGGTTGAAGGTGATTAAATCTGGGTTCAAAGTGAAAGGTAGATCTCTAGGAGGAGGGTTGTTACACATGCATATAAAATTAGGGTTTTCTTATTTTTGTTGCTCTTAACACTTTTTGTTTTCTCTAAATTTTTTTGCATTGTTGCCCTGAGTAACAGTTTGAGTGGGAGGAGCATGTATAAAAATAGTATTTGGCACTTGATCAATATTATACACCACTGTTATGGAATGCAGCAAAAATGATTGGGTAGTTTTAGTAACACTTTCTGTGAAGCCTGTATTTAGAAAAAGCATTATTGGGAACAATGCTTTGTAAGCATATATAAACCCTAATAATGCTTCATGAGGTTCTAACAACACAAGTGTCTCTATTCATTATAAAGTCACTATACTTATAATACTTACAATGGAAAATGACACAATGCACAATTGTAAAGCCCCTGTAATACATATTAACAATTATGAAAACATTATAAATGTTTAAAATCCCATCAAGTGTACATCAAGTACAGTTAATGTATCTGTCAGTGTGTGTGCTGTAATATACTGTACATCTTATTATTTCAAGGCCAGCTGGGAGAGCGTCCTGCTTCCTGATTTTTTAAATAAATACATTATTAATAAATATTACTATACATTATCAGACATTTCCAAACTGTTTGTAAAAGCACAGATACATTGTATATTGTTGCAATTTAAAAACTTTCATTTCTTCTTTTCTCAAAATTAAAAAAGAAAAAAAGAATTACAGTGATTATTTTGAACACCTAAAACAATAGTTTTCAACATATTTTGGTCCTACAGTGTCTAAATGTGACCTCAGTACATGGGTGGTGCCTAACTATCCTTACAAGGCTGATCCAGCTGATCCTGCAATAATAATAGATATGCAGTATCTTACAGAGCTACACTGACAGACACATAAACAGTACGTCTCTTAACATTTAAATGTGAAAAACCTAAAATATCATTCACTCAGCGATGTCATTTTGAATGTTCATAATGTTTTTGAAAACGTAGTCGCTTAATAAAAATGTACAGGTCATTATTCATTTAAAAGGTATTACAATGGACAGTGACACTTATAACGTACAAATAGTGTTAGAACATGTTTATAGGTCACAAAATATTAATTATAGTACATTATCACAGCTTTATGAGGCATTATTAGAATTTATAAGTATGCTTGCGAAGCATTATTACAAAGAGTTATAAGCAAGTTTATAACTATTTATGAATACAGTCTCCATGTACAGTGTTACCATATTTTTTTACCCATAATACCTGCAGTATCAACTTTCAAAAAGAACAGTGAGCTATTTTAAGAATCATATTAAAATATTAGTCTTATTATTTTTTCAACTCTTGTTAAATTGCTTCCCCTTAGCAATGTAAATGGGGTATAGTTCGTTTTTGGGTATATGTATGCCTTTGTAGGGTTAAAGCTCTTTCAAAAGCCTATTTTAAGAGCTCTTTATGCATTGAAAAGGTTTTTATGGAACCAAGGGATTCTTCTATGGCATCCCTCCTAAAAACCTTTCACTTCATTTTTAAGAGTGTATTTTAATAACCACACTCTCCTCTACATTCTCAGAAAAAAAGGTATGAAACTGTCACTGGGGCAGTACCCCTCTTGTCACTGGGGTGGTACCACACACCCCGTCTCATCTGCAGGTGGAGACATTAGGTTATGAAAAAATACATATATGTACTTTTCACCTGGAAAAACTTATTCAAGGTACACAATTGGACCTTAAAACCAATGTTGTAACTTTGAGGAAACATTTACATTGTTTGTGCCTTGATGAATGAAGAATATACCTGCACAGAACCTGTATTTTTAACAGTGTAGTTCATATAGGTCCAAAAGTCCACCACCAGCCTGTTAGTGTGCAGATGGTGGCCTGTATGAAGAGTTTGGGCCTGATTCGTGAGGAGCGTTCCCTGCAGGTCTCCCTTCGTTTCCACACTCATCAGAATGGTAGGGGGCGGTGGAGGCAGACAGGGGTCAGCAGGAGACGCTGACAGGTGAACTTTAATTACAGGCAAGCAGGAGGACAGCTCACTAATGAGGACCCAGCGCATCTTCAGAGTATGCACTGCTCAGGCAGCGCAATACACACTTGCACTGTATGTGTGTAGAGTGTGCTGAACGTTTTAATGCGGTGCTGCATCGCAGAGGTGGGCTTTTAGCTTTGCCATCACGTCCCTTCCCTGTCTGTTACTGCAGCAGAGAGATAGATTTACCTTCCTCCAAACAGAGAAGGCATTTGAATAGCTATAGTGATCTAGCTGTTTTGACCTGGTTGAAAAGCCTGAATGCTTTGGTTTTAGAAGGGAAAGCTGGTGGAAAATATGAGAATGAGTTGCTGTCACTCATTTGCATTTACATGCATGTACCTCTTTGCCATGTATGACTTTTAAAAATATGTTCAAGGCCAAAACCTCATCGCAAAACGACTGTAAAATAAGTGTGTTTACATGCACTTAATAATCTGATAACTGCAGAAAATCTGATTTTGTCAGTAATCCGATCAATGTTTACATGCACTTGAGTAATCAGATGATGAGGAAACTCCAGGTCTACATGAGTCCAATCATAATTGGATTTCTGCTTTCAAACCAGCCAATAAACTCACAGAAGAAGACGTTACATAAAACTCAAACTTCATGCCACAGCTTTTTTTTTCAAAAACATCGCCCCACTTTACGTGAAAACATGAACATACATCATCTAGAACATGAAGAATAATTTCTTCAAGCATGTAGTTGGTTTCAGCATCACTCTAAAAGTGTTTTGCTGCATCTCGTGGCAACACTGCTTGCTTATTTCCGGTACCGCCATCTGTTTTCTCACATGGGCAGACTGAGAAATCCGAAAGAAATCAGAGTAAGAGTTTACATGCACTGGTAAATCTGATTACTGAGCTAAAATCCAGCTCAGATTTCTTAGTCAAATTTCTAGACCTTATACTGAAATCAGAGTATGCTGTTTACATGACTATTTGAATAATCAGATAACTGCAGAAATCCAATGATGATCGGATTGTTTCATGGAATAACTTTCTGTGAGGGAGCTCTCAGAGGCATTAAAGTCTTCAGACATCTGGTTCCTTTCACCACCACTGTGAGCAACTTTGGTTTCTCTAGAATGAAGCATTTCACATTAAACCGCTCTGAATTGCTTTAAGTGGAAACGATTTACTTATGGTGAATTTAAGAAAAATGAGTGAAATATCTATTCACACACTACAAACCATAAAAATATTGACTGTAAACAGAACATTTTTAACCCTCAGTAGTCTATAGAGTTTAGCTCTCATTTTGCTGTAATATTTATGTTTAATTACAGTTAAAATTACAATGAATGGCATT